AGAAATTGTGAGGAAAAAAATAATAAAATTGGAATTTAAAAATGTACAGCGAGTTTGACCGAAAGTGTACAACAATGCATATTGACAGAAGGGTTGGCGATCTGGTAGTGCTGACATCTTGACGTAAGTGAAATCTGGAGTTTTTCGTTTAAAAGTTTGTTGAAAGGTTGTAGGATGTAGAGCCGTGTTCCGTAGTAAGGAATATAGTCCGCGAGTGTTTCGATTTGGAATTTGAAAGGAAAAGGATGGTACTCGCGACAAGAAGGCGCAATAATCGCAGGAGCGGAGACGGCACCATTTTAAAGGTCTAGCAACCATGGAGGGGACGCAACAGTTTTGTAACAAGGCCAAGACTGTAACCAACTAAGTAATTATTAGTAATGGCCATTAGTGTTTTTTCTCTCAAAACGAGAGCACTCGCGTGAATGAATGCAGTTTAAATATGTATGAATGAGTGAGAGTTGTTGAATTTGTTTTCTTCAAGCTATGTTGTGCAATTTAAAGGGTACATTTGATGTGTCATATTATGTTTCGGTACTATAGAAAGCTGGTGTATATAAGGCGGAGTGCAGAATTCGCCGTGTAGCGTTTTGAAATCTGGGGTTTGTGAATAAAAAAAGCTGCTCATATTTTGTGTGTATATATTAGCAGGTAATATAAACCTAATGGTAGGAGAAAGAACATAGAGAGTTCTCAAATCAATAAGATAACATTTGGTTTCCTGTGCAGAGGCGACTTTGCGAATTCACACAAAATTTATAAACTTAGTACTGTAGGAGCGTAACTTGACGTAACGCAATAAATTGTTATTAGTTTTCAGATTTTGAAAGATTTTCGCTCAAGTGTAGAGTGAAACAGGAAGAGGGTTAACTTGTTATTTACAATTTCTAATAAAATTTTAAATCACAAGTTTATGATTCATTACAATAACATGAATTATTCGTATAGTGAAAGTCAGTGATTTATATGACTAAATCTTTTCTCGATCTCTTGTTCGACTGACAAAAAGGAAACATCGAATTGAATGATTTCTTTTTTTCGGGCGCATCAATTGCGATGGTCATTAGTTCTGAAAGTGTAATGAAGGAGCAGTACAATTTGAATCAGCTATCCCGATTAAGCGGTCACATCTCAATACTAACAGACGTGTTTTCATAGAAGCGATCAAGTTTTACTATTTCACTATTTACGCAGATTGAGAATCGGAAATTTGAATCGGGACATTCAAAATTCAAGGTGAGAACGAATCGAAGAATTGATGAGTAAAGAAGTGATGAAGAACATCGTCGCATACGTCATGCAGTGATAGATTACACTCAGAAATGTTTTTTCTTCTTCTCCAATTTCCTTCACTTGGATTCTTTGATTGTATAATGTGGAAATCTCAAATGAGGCGCCTAATGTGGATTAATTGTATCCCTGGTAAGGATAAATTAATGCTTTTCCAGCAGGGGACCTTAAATCTAACAGGAGGACGACCACCGCCATTCCCCCATCAATTCGCATCCTGTTTATCTTGAAAAGAGAGAGCATTGTAATACTGCAACGGAAAGTGGCGATTTTTCTGCAACAAACTCATATTGTGGTTCTTGGTTCCGAAAAAGTGGATAATTCTTGTTCTCATGTGTAGTGAATGATTACGTCTAACACGTAATGTAGTCAGTAACTATTTTGGTGGGTCATTCATATACCTACAAATTTGGTTTACCGCGAAACGTCTGTCAGTCCGGCCGTCTGACTATACCACTATCAGTGAACAATGCTAACCGTTAAACAGAAGGCAGGTTTTCACAACAATTGTTATTCCTATTCTTTGATCCAACTGGTGGACGTCACGGCCCCGCGAATTTCTGGGAGGCGGGTTTGCCGACTGTTGGGCCGAAGCTCGTTTGAATTTGAAACGGGTATTTTGTTTCTGTGGCTACTTTACATGAAGCCTCGACATTTTCAAGTGTTTCTTCTAGAAAGTAGTTAAAAAATTTGGTGTTATTTTTTGGTCTCGAATGAATTACGTTTATAAAAATGGCGCATGTCCGACTTTTGTTGAACTTAAATTTGGAAAAATTGCAAAATTTTAATTTTCTTTCGTCTCCTTCTTGCAACTACAGTATTGAAGACAGTGATTTTTCTTAATGAAATCTGTTCAAAAATTAATATTTTAATAATGTATTCTACATTTTTTGAAAATGTGATTAGTTTTTTAGTATTTTGAGAGAAATAGTGACAACTTTTAGGAATTACGTAAACAAGATCTTTTAAAAGTGAAATCTTTTTTTGCTCTAACTCGTCCGACTTTAATTTAAACCTGTGAATTTTCGCAAATTGCAAATGTTCACCTTTTTTCTTAAAGCTACGGGGAGGTTGTTGCTCCCACATAGGTGGTTTGTGTTGGGATTATGTTGAATGCTAAACCAGGTATGTGATTTCGAATCCAAACGAAGTCAAATATTTTACAGTTTAGTAACTTTTGCGAGTTCAAGTAGTTTTATAATATTACGTAAAATTGTTGGAGCTTCACAATTTTATATAACAATGAAGTAATTGGTACTAAAAAAGAAGAGAGAAAGAACAAGACAATGGCAGAAAGACTATCTGTTTACCTAGATATGGCTCCTTTTCCACAGTCGGTAGAATGGCAAAAAAGTCTGTACCGTCAACTAAACGGCTCTACATGGAGATCGAAAGTACCTACTAAGGCGACTAAAAACGAATGAACAATTGAAAAATATTTTTCAATTGAGTAGAGTATTGTTTTTGTTAAATATTCTATAACAGCCATGCCATGATTCCGTCTCTTTCTCATTCAATCATGTGCAAATAGTTTTAGTATTAGTTATATTCGATGTTTATGTTAACAAGTTTTGTGATTTTTACGTTGTTTGACTCATCAAAGTATACTTCGTGTTTTGTCATAATAATTTCAAATTGCCATTTTCGTATCCTTGTACTCCTCAGTTCTCAAATCAATGATAGCGGAAGACATAGACATTTCCAAAGATGCGTTATGCACATTTCTGAAAATCTAAAGTCAATGAACTTCAGAAAAAAATTAACTTTTCAGACCTTTTAAAATGAACATTCGATACCAATACGGTAGTATTAAAGCGAGTGATACTTGTTTTGAACCGAGAACAATTTGAAAAAACGAAAGGATTTAATTTCAGATCTTCATGCCTTGAAAAAATCTGGCTATTTAAAATATTTAATAAAATATCATAACTTCACTGGAAAAACCAAATAATACATTTTTGGCATTTTATCTTTATTTCTAATTCCAAATTTCAATCCAAACGCTAAGATTGAAAATTATAATTTTCACATATTTATTACTACATAAGATAGTGAAAACTTTAATATTACTTAAATTTGAATAATTAATGCTGTATTTATTTAGTAATGTTGTATTTAATTAACCAGTCTTAATTTTTTGTGTGTTTTTCGATTCACTTCGTTTTCTAAATTCTTGTTAATGTATTAATTGCAAGTAGAATAAATTCGTTAATTATATACATTTTTTTAATTTTTTGTTATCTTTACGGATGATACGAACAACAACCATGGTATGATAAGCCGGCAGAATGTTTTGTAGCTGACGCGGTTTTGGCCAAATCTTATTTTACATTCCGCGGTACTATATCGTTACTTGGGTTTAAAGCCAGCCCGCCAACACGAATTTGACTGACCAATAACGTGAATGCAGCGTATTTGAATCAGCCAATACTGACGCTTGTTGTGGCTGTGTAGAGGAACGCGAAGCGCCGGGTAGCGCTTGTTGTGCGTAATATAAACGAAGGGTCGTTGGATTCCTGGCTGATTCCAAAAGCCTTTGCTGGTGAGTGAAATTACCGGAGTCTTGCGTGGTTGCCTGTGGCTTTGTCTGCGAAGCAGTATAAACGCAGGTATGCTCATTTATTTAAACATTTTAATTGCATTGTATGTAATTGTAAAATCCGTTGTTGTGTTGGGAAAATGTCGGAAATCCTTTGTCTTTTACGCGGTTTCTGGAAATTTTTGTAGCGATATTTGCTTAAAATCAAGTGTAGGATAGGATTAGTTTCAACTTTCCTGGTCTTACTGCAATTTGATTGGCAACGTTTAATTCATGTTTTTTTTACGAAAGGTATCTGAAGCTTTTGTGTTACTAAGTTCAATTATCATGTGTTATGTTACTTTCAGAATTTGTGAAATGTTTTGAGTATACAAATTTAGACGATATTATTAAATTTATCGCTTAAATAATTAATTGTAACCAAATTATCTTTTGTATTTGAATCAGGTGTGCTCTTACACAACTGTACACAGTAAGTCATGCTCCCATCCTTTTGTTTACTTAGACAAAGTCTTAATTCAGAAGTTACGCAGTGAATGGAAAGTTTTTATGTGGGAAAATAAGTAAAATTATATAGTAATTATTCCCTGAAAACTGAGGAAAAGTTCTAAGTTTAATGTAGATGTTACCCCAATTTCCACTTTTGTAATTTTAGGGTTTAGAAGTGAAAATATAGTTGTCAATTATTGGACTTACAGTAACAAATTTTGGGCCAGTGTATAATAACAGTTACTTACTATTCATGTTAATGTTTCCTCTTGTTGAGGAATGATATGTTTAGATTATAATTATTTATTGATAATTTACTGTTCAGTTGATAAAATTTTCTGTGTGCAAGTTGTGATGTTCAAATGTTAATTAGAATTTTGAGTTGACAGCAAAATTAACATTTTGTATGATGTTAGGAATTGTAGGAATTACTATGTAATTGCTAAATGTGTTTTTCATAACATTTTGAGGGTTTGAGATGCAAGTATTTCATGAAAGAACGAACAAATAACAACTTGTAGTTGAATGTTGAGTGTGCTTAAATGAAGTAGATAATTACAGGAATATTTGTTCCAGAACATACAAGGTTAAACATTTTTTTCATTCTTCTCACTATTTTACCATTTTTTACCCCTTCTTTTTTGAAATATTGAGTAGTACCTTGGAGTGGTGAATAAAACAAATGGCAGTGGCAGTAAAGTAAATAGTATTTGTTTATAATGGTAGTTGTTTAAGGCAAAATATAGGATCATGCCCTTACAAATATATTGAAAAGGTAATAACAGTTCTGTAAACAACTAATAATTTATATCAGTGTAGATATAAAAATTCTATTTACCAATTTAAATAACATGCAATATCATAAATTTAACAGTATTTTGTTCATTAAATGTTTTTGTCCTTCCTTGACTGTTCTTCTTTCTGGAATGCTGTATCTAGTGGAAGAATCTTCATTCACACTTCGATTCTTGTTCTTTCTTTCTTCTTTTTTTTTTTCCTATAGTGGCCGATGACATTAGATCATTGTTACGTTCTTTCCTGCCTTATTTAATGGTTGGTAGCACATTTCCGAGGCCATGAGCCCTGTTGAGAAGGAAATTTGCGAATTAATGTTAAAGATAAATTTTATAAGGCAATAGGTGTAACAGTGACCCGATGTCATGGGTCACTACAGTATAATTGGAAGTATAGATTCTTGATGTAATGACAGGATGGAATTCTTTCATTATCTTAATTGCACAGTATCCGATTTTCTTGTATGGAAATGTATTGAGTAGAGAGATTAAGTGTGTTTAAGAGCCATAACTAATTCATCAATGTTATAATTACTTAATAAGTTAACAGTAGTTTTATTCAACAATGAAAATTTTCTTTTTCGTTCTTAAAGGGTGTCAGAAAATGGTGACAAATACGATATATTGTATTCGCTTGTTCAGAAGTCAATGATATTAATGAATTTAATAGTATTAAAATTCTTATTTTTTTTTTTTTTCAAAATATTAGGAATATCTACAGGTGGGTAATGTAAAATATTTTTTTGTTTCAATACAATATTGGAAAATACTATAGTAGTATTATTATTATTAAATTGTAATCTTCAATTTAATCTCATCCTTGATTTAAGTGTGAATCACAGTTGACTCTTGGAACAGCTTCCCTTTACATTGTTGTACAAAGAATTTATCAAATATTTCTCATTTTTGGTTTTTTGTATATTACTGAAATGTAGTTAGTACTTCTAAATTTGTGAACCTAAAAAAAAAAAGAAACATTACTTTTTTTGCTGAGGGGAATGTTAAAAAAATCAACATTAAATATTTGTAAACTAGCATTAAATAAAAATGAATCATTCAAATGCATCCACATAAATTTTCATTGTTTATAAATCATTAATTCACTAATAATACATTTTGATTCAGTCATCTTACGGAAGGTATATATTATATATATATAGCAGCTTTAAGGGACAATTTAAGTATAGGATGTCTGAAATATTATTTGCTTAATACTGGAATAAAAAAATGATGTAAATTGACTTTGTATAAAATCTGAACAATGCTTTTGAAACTCATTGGAAGGAGGATATTTCACATTAAGAAAATGAATTACTTTTGTTGAAAATTGTTGTTAATGCTATTTAATTTAATAATGTATTATTCGTATTTAGATTTGAATATTATTGCTTAATTTTGACCTAATAAGAATGCCACATGAAAGTCAAATTGGTTTCCAATTAATTCAAATTTTACGAACATGCAATGTCAGATTAAATCATTGTAGAGTCCATCTGTGGTCCAATTTCAATATTGTTACTTGTGTCATCAGCAGGGTGCAGTATTTCGATTGGGATAATAACTAGCTAATGATCTGTCACAGGCCACTATATTTTATACCATTATTTTTATAATAATTAATGGTGTTTATTATTTTTAACTAGGAAATTTTATGCCTTGCGTATGTATCAGAAGCAATTGACACATTCGGTTTTCCAAGTTGACATTTATGCATTTGAGTTATGAACTAATCAATCTAATATGCCTTTTGTGCTTTTATCACATTTTCAAAGATTTTATATTGGTTATAACATTTTGAAAGGTAAATAATCATTTCTGTTATGTAGGCTATTGAATTTTTATTTCTGAAAGCATCTTCATTTTAACTTCAATTTTAATTTTACCAAACAAATTGTATCGAGAAAAATATTTTGCTGAATAGCATTTGTGATTCATAATCACAATGAATGAACTACTAAGTAAAACTTGGTGTCGGAATTGGTTGTTGTTGTTGTTTTTTTTTTTTCTTTCAGGTTTTGTTATAGAGTGATTGTATATGTAAAGTAAGGTTCCCCATTCCCACCTAATTAATTTTTAATGGTGAAAGGTAATTCAGTAAATTAGTTTCTTATTTAATTTTTGACAACTTAAAAGAAAGGTCTATGAAAGAAAATAGTATGTAATGGAAATTGAGATTTTTGTAGTTTTGTGCTGTCGTGATAAATATATGTACCTATGGGTATTATTTTTCTTCCACAATTCTTAATAATGATGTTTTGTTTATCTTGCATATCTCTCAAGTTCTCTCCTTTTTTCTATGAAAACTTCAGTTCAGAGTGTGTGTGTTGAGTCGCCCTCCCATGACATCATTGTAGGGGTTACACTAACTGGAATCCTATTTATTAATGTATATTTGAATAATGGAGATTTTAAAACTGAAAGATCTTTATTTCGAATGTGATTTTATTCGTCCCCTTTTCTCAGTCTCGCGTCGCCCAGAATACGTGACCGCCAGAAATTAGTGGTAGTGCTTAGTAGGCTGTATGTAATTCGTGCCACCAAGCGAGCTTTCTGTATGCTGTATCCAAAATACTTCATTCCTGACGTTTAATGTGTGATATCGATAGTAGTTTCTTAGTAACTCGCTATAGCGTCACATTTTCTAATATGACGCCATTTACCCTTGCCACCAACATAGGAGGATAGTGTCGTTTCAGCTGAGCGCTCCTACCACCCTAATAAGCCCGATATTTAAATTGTCACATATTAAAATTATCCAGACTGTGGGTAAAAGACTGAATCTGGTATTCCCTAAATTGTTCGTGAAGGATCATGCAGCACGCACGGGGCAAGGATTGCAAAGAACGGCAACGTTGCCTCTGCTGAGGCCCGACTATCTAAGCATATAGATGAAATGGCGCAACGTATAGTAAACAACAAAACGTGAGTTGGGTCGAACTAAATGATTTAATTTTTAGTCTGAACTTATAACAAGGCAGAGCTGAACAATAAGCAAAGGCTTCTGGCATTTTCTTATTCATAAATTTGCATGTTTCCTTTTTTCCGCCACAGTTGGGGTAGTTTATACTATATTTCGGAACGGAAATATTCTCAAATCGTGAACGGAAATTTTTCTTTTAACGTTCTTTGCGTGATAATCAGTCGTTCATGGTGAGCATTGTCGTATTCGTTTTGGGTGGTGCTATAAAGGGTCGTGACCGTCAATTGGCGTTTGAATGATTTTTAAACACCGCGACCGTACCCCCTTCGAAACTTCGGACCAGGGTTCGGTGACATCATAGCGCTGAGGTCCATTTTCCGAGTCGTCCTCGGTTTCTTCCCGAACACACGTGGCGGATATTCGTGAACAATCGATTGGAAACAAGCATTTTAGAGCCGCCCTCCGTGGTTGAGGTCAACTCCGGTCTGCACGTAGAGGCGAATGATGAGAAATAAACGGGTGATTGTGGAAGATAAATGTAAAAACAAGGGTATGGCTGAACTCGTATTTGAACACGCGATCCATCGAACCCAAGTAGTTATGATACTACCTAACCTGTTTCACAGGGCCATAACTACATTGGAGAGGGGGTCACGGATGATAGTATGATCCCCTCGTTATTGTTTCACCTCACCTAACCACTAGTGCGGGGGGGGGGGATAATTTTTTTATTATTAAAGTAACTGTGTAGTTTCGTCGATAAATGTCAAGTTGAGGCGTGTTGTTTTAATTCTGTTATGGAGGGACAATATAATTGTCATTTATTAAGTCAAAACATTTAAAATATATTCGACACGTTCCCTCTCAATATTTTCTAGTTCTTTCGGTTTTATTCTAATGTTATTATTTCTTTCTGTGTTAAATCCCCCCCTAAAAAACACCTGAGTTTAAAAACGCATTAAATCATTTAAATGTTTTAAGGGGATTTTTAAAATTATTTCAAATAAAATAAATTTTACTTTTATGTATTTCGAAATCTTCATGTAACATTCAAATTTATTCGCAACAAATGCATGCAAACAAATACAAAAAACAACAAACAAAAGAATAAACTATGAATTGCAAATGATTTACAACATTTGTTACGCATTTGTTACTTACTATCCAAACAATAAAGTTAATTTTAACATTTACGTTTTAGGTAATTATATGATTTCGATATCTTAAAAAGGGGGGACGGTGGTTGGACGTACCATAAAGAAACTAGTCAGTACTGAATGCATTTTAGTTTGACCGTGATATCATGGTGAAAATCAGAGATGAACTAAATTTAAGAAATAAAATTCTTAAATTCTACCTCAAAGTACCAACTGTTGCGTTCTTTTTTAAAACTTTTTCCAGATCTGTCGAGTACCTCTTACGTAGTATATAGAGAAAGTATTTTAATGCTGGAGCGAAAAGGATAGTTTGTAACGGCAAAAAGTGTACAGCACATACTTTCTCACATTGCAATGTTATCGTTATGTACGACGGGACGCTCTATATGCTTCATTAATTTCAAACTGAAATCACGCAAAACTATTAACTTTTACAAAAAATTATACATTGCCATTTTTAAACAGCAAATTTTGTACAACAGACTTTGTCCGAATTATTATTCATATAGGCAATTTTCGAAACATCGGGGATATAACAACCGAAATGAGATCTACACCACTCTCTTAAACCTCTGCACTATTCAACAATAACAACAACAACAACAACAACAACAACAACGGTTTATCCTCTAACGTTGTGCGCCGACAGATTTTTCCGGCAATCGATTTTTTGGTGTGAAGGACGCACACGACATAGATTCTGGCTACACCACGTGTTGGAGGATTTTTTTCTATGTTTAGCAACTGGATTTATCCACTTTTTCGTCACCCGAGCCCGGCAATAAGAGTTTTTGTGTCGAAAATTCGTAGTTTTCCGGCGCACGATCACATCTTACGTTAGTAAGTGCGAAAAGGTAAAATCTGGTTTTCAGACTCCCTGACACCGAAACTGTGGATTTTTCTTCCTCGCATATGCAGAAAACTATTCTCGATTATTCAGTATAATCATAATTCAGGTTTTGTGAGTTACTGATATTGAAAAATTGATCCCCCCACCTCTCCTCTGAAAGCACAAGCGCCTAAGCCTTGGGATTTTCACAAAAAAATTTACTCGGATACGACAATTTCTATTCACAAAAATGGGGCGAGACCAATTTTAATTGAAACCTCTGAATTATCGAAACAGTTTAAAATGTTTACACCCCGTCACTATTCTATTTTCATCACACATTCAAAACTTTGTAAAGTATTTTTTCTTTCTTTATTGTGTTTACGCTGTACTGAAGCTAGAGATTATATATATATATATATATATATATATATATATATATATATATATATATATATAGCCAACTTTTTTTGAGAGTTCTTCAAATCAATTTATGTATCATATTTGGGTAATGTTAGTAGTTTTGTATAATCTCAAGTTGAAATAACCTTAATCACAACGATGGTGCGAATCTTGCTTCATGTCAATGGCTCTAGGGAAACACACCGTTCCTGCACCCGGGCTGCGGGATGTTAAACCCGGCCACACTAAAACTTTTTGCTTATAACAAAATATTTTTTGGTAGAATGCATTTTTCATATGTTGTGGCTTTTGAATTAAAAGGAGTACGATGAATTTTATTACAAGTAAACTGTTTACTCAGCCTGAAAATATAAGTGGGTTTTTGAAGCTTGAATACTTGGCATGTGATCAGAAGCAAATGCACCATCATGGTGAGTCACAGTCAGGTGTCACGGGCATCTCACAAAAACGAGCGGAAATTACTCACATTTGAAAAACTGCTCCGACATCCTCAAACGACTATCATTCCAGAGAACAGCGAATACCTGTGTAATAAGTACAGACGTGTCCACACCGCTCAGCAAGGTTGTACGAACACAAAGGTCGTCGCGCCGGTCAGAGTACGTACGTTGGTAGCATTTAAATTAGTGGTGCCATTTTGCTCACAACTTCAAATACAAAATAAGTATTTGAATCAATTCTGCTTATGAATGCAATACTGTGTAAGAAATACCCTTAATGTAAATACCGAGGACGTGAAAGATATTTCAAAAATTATTTTGTATATTAAAATAAATACCGAAGAGTCGTACTTCTGGAGCTATTTAGTCCATTTTGCACTGTCCGTACAAAAATGGAGAGAGACGATATTGAGTTAATTTTGGAGAACACTGCGTTTGAGCGTTTCTGATAATGCGAATATCTGAGCTCAATTTTGCAGAAACGTCATGATAAATCATTTAATGTTCTTGTACTCTCAAATCCAATTAAGTATAAGAAACGCTCCTGTTGTAAATCTTGACGTGAGAGATACTTGAACAAATTACAATCGTGTAATTTTTGGAAAAAGTATATAAATACATCACAAATACGTTTAATGTCATGTTATTCAGAGCATTGAGCACCATCAATAGACGTTTAAAGAACAAATTTGGAGCATTTTTGATTAATATTTTTAAAACTTTTACTAAAATTCTCTCAAAATAGTGCAAAAACTACTAATGCTTTCAAAATAATGAACATAAGTTAAAGTAGTAATTGTGGAGAAAAAATTAATTCGAAAAAGAAATACCGATCTTCAATATTGTTTTAGAAGTACGTCGAAAAAATAAAACTTTCTTAATTTTCGAAGTGTATTTCACTTCCTTTATTAAAAAAAGCAAAGAAAAAATAGTTACTTTTATGACATTTTTAGAATGTCCCAGGATCTTCAAATACTCCAAAAAAGGATAGGGTTTGCCAGTTTGACCTAGGATTATTCGTTTTGGGAAAATCTTACGAATAGTTGCACGCCAGTGGTGTTCAAGAGTCGGACGGACGTTATAAAGTAGTATCACGACACCCCAAACTGTGCATTTGTGTTCAGAATCTTGAAGTTTATTTTTTGCAGCATTTCAAATCCTTCTTTATAGCCTACTACGTATATTTCTCCATATATTGTACGTATGCTAGAAAGGAAAAAAAAACAACAACAAAAACTAATGTTAGTGCAAAAAGAGCAATCCCAAGAAAGTAAAACTAATAGGAATTTTTAAGGCAAACTATAATCGTAATCTTAGAGTAAGAGAACGCATAGGTCACAATTTTCTATGAACATTGGTGAACTGCAGCAAATCGGAGAGAACCACTCGCTTTGAACCACAGCCGGCGGATCGCCGCATTTGTGAGCGCGCACACTTCGTACCTTCCACATTGGGTAATGGAAAACGTAGTTACGGCCTTCCTCGCCAACGTAAATGCTCTTTACCATAAATAAGCGAGTGTTGTTTCTTAGTTTTAACAGATATCCATGTTTTGTCAGTTGGGTGAATTTTGTCAGACAAGTTATGGTACAAGAAGTTATATTACATCCGGACTATGCAAAGATGTCCATCGTAGTTGAAATCATCATCCTGAATGTCTACTACTACGAACACGAATAATATGTAGTAATTAATGGCTGATTTTAAACAGAGTTGGGCCCTTTTGTTTAACGTGATATAACAGGAGGAAACCTTTTTTTTTTGTGTTCATATGAACCTGAAGTTTCAAAGAAAGCATGTTTGGCACTTGCTATCTATTCGTAAATAATTGCTGATGTAATTAAGGCGATTATTAGAATTCAAGCTATTACTGAAAATGGGAACAGTTTGGGAATTAAATATTCAGAGATTACCGACATATTCTATAAGGATACAATTTCTCTCGCTTTCTATTACGCGAACTGCGCGAAAAATTAAGTTGGGAAACCGGTCTGCAATTTGACAACTGGGAGAAGCAACCCTGTTCAATTTTTCGTATCAACACTGGCGCGCAGCTGTTAATGATAGTTATCGTCGCATGGTAAAGTAATTCTCATAATAGGGCAACATTTAATTTCATTGTAATCCGGTAAATTTCATAAGATTTAACGAAATCAGTTTCATGTTTTATAGCGGTTTACTGTGACACTGTGACGCGATTTTGGTGTTTATTACGAGCGAGTTATTATTATTAAGAAAAATAGGATTGTAATTCGTACAGCAATATAAAAACGAGTTTCATGTGTTTGGACGATAGATGTCTGTTTAAAGCATCTTTTTTTGTGAAAGCTTTTTCGTCCGACTTTCGAACATCGACAAGTTTGGAGCTTCCACTCTCACCACTCTTAAGCTGCATTTCAACCCTAGAATGACCCAACTTGGACAAGAGCTTTCTCTGGATAAAAATAGGGATAATGAGTCACTTTCTGTTTCTTCGTTTTCGGTTGCAGATGAAAATATACTAGAACAGTACACGAGAATTTATCTCGTATATCAATCTACTTTTTAATACAATATTATCTGCAAATAGTAGTCACGGTGATATAGTTTTGAATTCGTGTAGTTTAAGGGTAAAAGTGAAGACTTTAAAGAATTATATGCAAGCGCAATGTTACCAACAAATGCGTAAATTCGCTGGTACTTCGAAACACCTGTTGAGGAAATTAAATTTCATGTTAGGGTTTTCTCGAAATAGCATATCAATTAAAATTTTAAACGAGCTAGTCAAATTCAATTAAAAAGTGATCTTTCCATATTGATTAGTGTTTTTGTAAGAAAATGAGTTGTCATTTGAACGCATGATGTAAGTGCGATTTATAGGTGAACAAAGTAGTTTGTATAAATTCATTAAACGACGATCCCGGGGAATCGCGGAGGTAGTCGTGAGTATCGCGCTGCCGAGGAGCCGCCTGGTCGAGCATGCCCCCACACTGCAGGTGAAGTGACGGCAGTGCGGCTCTTCGTTCTAGTGCCCCCCACAAGCGCCGCACCGGTGGACCTCCCCGCCGTGCGCCCGCCGCCCCGCGCCCCCTGGCTGGTCTAGCAGGCCACTGAATCGATCCTCTGCTCTCTCTCCTAGCGGCATTCGGCGGACAGTCGTGTTGGCCGCCACCACATCTCTTACGGAACGCAGCGAGCCGCGAGACACGAGCAGGAACAGCAGCAGCAGCAGCAGCACCGCTCCACACCTCCACCTCATCACACCATGGCCAGCGCAGAAAGCGAAGGTAAGGCCCTCCTCCACCGGCCCTGCTCGGCCCTGCCCGGGCCGAAAGGGCAGGTTGCGGGAATCGCATTGCTTCGCAACGCGTTGCGCCGCGTCGCCCTGGCGACGGCCGGCGCAGCGCCGGGGACCCGGGCTGCGCTTCGGGTGACAGGGCCCAGAGCCGCTCCGGCCACAAGCGCCCTCGCCCTCGCCGTAGATGCGTTGCGAGGGGGGGGGGGCGTACGCGTTGCGTGCACGCAGGCAACCGCAGCCGGCGTGCGCAAGGCGACGCCTTGCTTTTAGAACGGCCGCCGTTGCGCCGACGGCCAATCGACTTCTCTGACGTCACAGTCCGTCTGCCGGCTGGTCGTTGCGCGTGGTTCAGCGACCTTTCGGGCCAAGTAGGACAACGGCTACAATGGTAGTTAGGTGCATAGACTTTTTTAATTTTCATTGGAAGAGAACTCTTGTTCATTTCCCGGATATAAGTGTCGCAGAAAAAAGGGTCCAAAAAACGTTACCAGTTATTTGTAGAGTATGGCAGGATCTATTGTTAGGCAAAGAAATAAAATATAGTAGTGCCCATTTACAACTAAAAGTTAATAACAAAAGTTAAAATAATTGTCATTAACATATTATACACAATGCATGTGTGTCAGCTATGCACTTGGTAATCACTGGAAGGGAAAATAATATTTTCTACGCACCATGAAAATTCTGACAGATCTGTAGGTTGATTTATTGATTAGTGGGCTAGAGCTTTAATTGGTTACTCTTCGTCAGTGTAGTCTGGGGTCAGCTGCAATTCCACCATGTCGTATGCCTGGATACTTTCTGTATTGATTAAGATAATGCCAATGAATCTTAATTTGTATGATGAATTGCGTTCTATAAAACATTTAAATAATTCTTGGATTGGTAAATTTTTGAATGATTCACATAATTACCAAACCATTTGTTGTCTAGCATTCTGTTCCAGAATTCTGAAATCACACTCATCAAGTTAAGAAAGTGCCAGTTATCATGTTCATCCGAGTGTGTTTTTTTTTGTTTTGTTTTTTTTTCTTCTCCAGTCAGTGATTATATAGTTTCAACGAATATTCCAAGGCTCCACAGCTAGAAAGAGAGACTTCATTGTTTTATTTCTTAAATCAACTTAAATTTTTTATATATATATATATATATTTTAGATTCTGAACAAGAAATAACGTCTTTAGCCATACCCGTACGTACACACTTACGAACCCTTACAACCCGTACGAACACGAACTTTCTGTTAAAGACAATATATTTTGCTGCATGACAACAGTACCAAAATTATGATGTATCTTATTAATTTTCTATATTACGTATGCAAATTATCACGCAGATGTATTGCCAATTAAAAGTAGTGGTCAGTAAAAACTCATTTCTGTTGTTTGCGACTGCATGATTACATACTATTTCGTTTGTGTAGTATTATAAAACAGTCTGTTAAAACGTTAAGAAATAAGTAAAGGTGGATGTTCATGAAAATGAACATAAAACCAACGAGTGGAATGCGGTAGCCATGATAGGAGTAAGACATTTTTGAATTGTCTATTGCATTATTTTCGAAGCTGGTGTGTTTGCACACTGCTAGGGAGGTGGCCGGAAAACGTCGTGTGGGAAAACCCCCAATTTCCGCTTAGGTGTTCACTTAAGACCCTGCGTAGATTTTCAACCTAATCATCTATTCGAATTATACTGAAATTGCTTTCGTTTTCAGGTCTTCAGTGTAAATGTAAACTGCCATAATTCAATCGTATTATCGTTAAAGAAAAAGGGGACTTGAAAACGAACCAATTTCGTCATCATTTCTATCTATGAATTTCTTTCCAGAACTCATAAAATACTCTTTCGTCAGCTTTAAGGGTATTTGCTCACAGAATCATTAAAAAGCAATAGCGGCGATTGTTGTGTTATGCCATTTTTGGTATCGTTAAAATAGTGGATAAAAGTTTTTTAAGATATTGAAGATTGTTAACACAGCATTTGCGTCACGTGTCTTTGCGGTGTCCTAATCACCACTATCCGCTTATACTGGTTAATACTTAATACGTTTTGTAATAGTAATAATAATAAAAATAATAATACACTATTAATATTTATCTGAAACTCTTACTCTTCGTATGTGCAATGGAGCATGATATTCCATGATTCAATTTTTTTATTCGTTGCTAAGGTAGTTAATTATTTTTCAAATGCCGTCCACATGGTTTCTCGTGCTTATTTTGCGTGTGCGATACTGCTAAACATTTCATTCTAATAGCATGCGAAACGTTACGAAGCGTTCGTGAAATATCGCGAAGCTCGTGTAAAACCACCTTTGCGTAGTTAGTTGTTTTTTTTAAATAAGTGCGAGAAATGATTTTTTTGCACGACCGAGATTGAGACAAAAGTACAGTCAAGATAGTGCAAAAAGTCATCATTTTGCCCTCGAAAAATTCACATTTTTTCCACCATCCTATAAAAAAGTTTAGATTACAAATCATGATTTGTTTCATGGTTGAATCGAAAGCAAGCCCTATTTTCATTAACCTTAATGTCGCATCATAGTGTACTGAAAAGTTGTATCAGATGGGCTCATTCCTTTACTGATACTTCTTGGTTGTAAATTCTGAATTGGAAGTGAATAATGACGGTACTTGCACTACACAAGAGTTCGAATCTGTGAACGCTGCAGGGTCTTCATTTATTACCAGAAAAATTCAGTTATTTACGAAAAAAATTTCTGTTGAGAAATTGATGTCTGTGAAGGTTTTATCAAACTGTGTTAATAGCATTACTCATTGCATTTGTTAATAAATTACATGTAATAGTCATTGGCAACAGTTTAATAATAAAGAAATTAAAGTTGTTTTGCCGTTTATTTTTTACTTGTTCTTCTATTGTTAACCTACATACCTTGCGAAATCGTTTTTCACAGTTACGGCGTCACCGTGAAAATAATTTTTGTGAAGAACATCACGTTATATACATAACTTAACATTCGCGTACGTAGTAGAGCTCTTTTTTGTTCGACCGTAAATTTATTGAGTAAGACAATTTGATTTAAACACGATTTGCACCTCCTTTTGACAATTTCGGAGGTTTAGCACAAGTGCGAATTCGCGAATCCCAGAACGAAAACCACGATTGCGCATGCGCGATTCACGAAATCGTTCGACGAACGGAACAGTCTCGTTATCAGATAAAATTATTTTCGTATGTATGGAGATTATATAAAATGTATCGTAACATTTTGAAATCTTTGGACATTTTTCCGAGAGCAAATTTCTGTGAACGATTAACGGCTTAAACACGATTTGTACCGTTAAACTATCATGAAGGAAAGTTATCCCCTTTAAGAGTATATACAATATGTTAAGGCAAGGTGACTTGTGCATTATTTACCATTGAGCTTAGCCACCATTGTCACAGAACCCCAACATGTGTTTGTGCTGGATAGGGAATTACTCCATACGGGAAATTTCCTATTCTTGGAAGGAAATGTATAGGAGCACATACAACCTGCAATACACTATCCTCGTGCCGAAGTTGAAAACTGCGTCCTAGGCTCTTAACACCCGATTTTCGTGCTTCTTTAGGGGTCTCGAATAGTGTTTCTTAGGCTGTAACTACAAAATGAGACTTTGTGGATTGTGTATTACCTAATTCGAGATTAAGTTCTTCTGGGTTTAGCGGTTTGCATACTACTTTTACTTCTACTCCTCTTCGTCGCTTGGGTGTTGAGAAATGCGCGGAATCTCGTAATCTATGTTAATCTGAACATTAAACTTTGCTTTTCACTCTTGCAAACGGTACTTTTATAAATAAATGTCTCTACTATTGTACTTGCGTTAGTATTTCAATAATAAGCGTTTATACACTAACAAAAGATCAATACCTCGCGACTAAATTTAAAAAATACATAATTTCGAGATTCTGCACGTTTCGTTATACCTGGGGGTATCGAAAAGGTCTAAACATACGAAAAAGAACTAAGAGAAAAAAAGTTTTGTTTGAAGATTATGACCTAGGGAATATAACTCGGGGCCACGACAACACGTTTTCGAGAGACTAGGCCATAGTTTTGAAATGGTTGATGGTAATATGTTGCAGGTTGCACGTCAGCCTGCCGACTTTTCAAGAGTTCATTATACAATATTCCGAATTTCTCATCTTCGTACACACTCCTGCGTGGTGATTCCGTATCCACCAGTTGCATTTTTACGGAGTTAATGAAGCTCTCTAAATCGTTTGATACTATTTTCTCCCCTTGCGTATTTAATCGAGACTAGTTCAGCGGCAGAAATGCTGCCGAACAGAACCACTCAAAATTGTTTCTAAAAAAATAAAATAAATAAATAAATAAAATAAAAAATAGCGCATGCACACTGCTAAAATACACAAATACTCTAGCAAAACACGTCTTCATGAATACTGCAATACGTATCCTAGTGTAATAATATTTATGCAGTACAACAGTTCTTTACACAAGTGCTAGGAATATCAAGATAATTCCTGTTCCATAACGATCCACGTGTGTAGCAAATGGTTAATGGCGGTCGGAATCTTTCTTGGGGTCTTGCTGTTAGAAAGCCACACCTGGCCTTTAAACAGTGACGCACTGAGGAAGGGAATTCAGTTTATACGCGCAATTTGAGAGTCGGCAGAGAAACAACTAAATTTTGGCATTTTAAAGTAAAAAACGGCACCTTCATTTTATTATTATTATTTTTTAATTTTACCAGTTTCTGGGTATACGAAACCATAAGACGCCGCTCACCTGGCCGGGGGCTATAGTTTTCTTTCAATTTCTTCGCGCATAGCAAATTATTGACAAACTGGTTTAGCCCCCCCCCACCCCAAACAAAACAAAAAAGTAATCCATCAAATACTATTCGGGTCGAGTGTTAAAAAAAAACCATTTGTTTCCAACCTTGGTAATATAGATTTCATTGTTTTTGTGTTTTCTGGGTATCCAGCGAAACTGCACACTTCTCACACGACCAGAGTCTACATTTTTTAAAAACATTTTTCCGCGAATTGTAAATTAATAATTTAGATGGAAGTTGTATTTAAATCACAACGTTGCACCTTTAGAACAATGGCTATAGTACATGTTTTGTATTTGGTGTGACATGTGCATTACTATGCATTAATGCTATCATGCAATTTAGTCTGTTAGTAATAGTGTATAGGGGTGGGTAGTGATGCAGTATAAAAATGAATTAAGTATGGTACGGAAATATCTGCAATGATTTGAATAATATGCATATCACACTCGCACGCTGAATGTGCTGATCCGCTCTGTTTTTGAGCTGTACAACGTGAATCTTCTGAGCGATTATAATTTGTGACGGAGAATATTGTACTCTTAGTTGTCGGCAGAAGCAATGAAAAGTATCCACTATATGAAATGTTTCTGTCTGGGATAAGCAGTTCTCTAATATCAGTTTTACAGTATTCCGGTTTTTGGTAGAGCAGCGCCCCTTGTGCGTACATGAACAGCAAAATAGAAATGATCGATATGAAACGTGCGTTGTATTGATGCACTGCCAATGAACGCATCACGCGAGTTTTGACTGCGTGATTCAAAATTGCAATCGATATTGTGAAGGCTGCACGGTTCGGAAAATCTCCTTGGTTATTTTCAGGGATTCTTTTCGAAATACAATGTACAGTGTCATGTTCTGGTGCGTCTGTTTCAATAAAAAATAGAAAAAACGCCAACGAAGTTTTGATTTTTGTACTTTTATTAAAATACCCATTTGTCTGAAAATTATGCAAAGCATTTACTGAACTCGTCTTTGGAATTGGATGCAAGACCGCAGTCGAACTTTCGTGAATGTAATTTATGGTGTTGTAATGCCTTCCTTTCATCACTATCTTCAATTTTGGAAGCAGCCAATAGTCGCAGGGTTCAAGATTAGGCGAATAAGCAAGATGTTCGAACACAGTGGTGCATTTCTTAGCCAAAAATTGCGGACTTCGTAGACTTGGGGGCCGGGGCATTGTCATGCAGAAACGACCAAGAGCCTTGTTCTCAATATTCAGTCCGCACTAATCCTGACCAAAATCGGCTTAATCCACTTAAATAATCTGAATTTCCTGTTTCACCTTCCGGCATAAACTCTCCATGAATGGTTTCCTTGGAATCGAAAAACTCTGCCAGCAAGGCCTTCTCACTACTGCATGCGGACTTTCGTGTTTTTTTTTCTT